CTTGGTGCTAGACCTTAATTAAACGGCGGGTCGAGGAGGCCACCCTTACAAGGTCTCCTTCAACAAAACCTCCATCTCGTCCCACCTTCTCCTTCCACTCCCAGATATACCAAAAAACCTTGGAACTCGTATTTTGTTTCTTCATCATATATCCATTCATTCTATACCTACCTTCGATTGCCCCCAACCCGCCGATCATTGGAACTTTTGTTGGGACTCACATATGGCCACCACACTATTGGCGATTGCGCTCGCCTAGATAACTATCAATCATCCTTAAACATTCTCAAACGTTTAACGGTGACATTTCACAATGAGCACCTCCACGATCTCGCCAGCGGCGACGCCGACGCCGACACCGACACCCACTGGGTTGTCGACGATATTGTCAGGCTCGACTTCACTATTGTCGACAATAACGTCTTCTGTCACATCTCCCACATCGTCGTCATCTGCGCCAGCTTCGACATCATCAGTCTTCGTTCATGATGCTTTCGACGCCGCTGCCTCCGGGTCTGCCCAGACCCAGAGCGGGATTAGCTTAGTCGCATTCCTGACGGCGCTGGCGACTTCGTTGATTATATTTGGTGTGCAGATGGGCTTCTTTCTCGTCTTGAGAAACAAACTTGTCAGAATATTGTAAGTGTAGTTCTTTTCAAACCAGACACCTCCCAGCTAATATTCTCGTCCGTAGCAAGCCAAAAACTTACCTAGTCCCCGAGCGCGAACGAACTGATCCTCCACCTGCGAGTCACTGGGCTCTGGTCTGGAAACTCATGGCATTTCGGGATCGAGAGATCATCAACAAGTGCGGACTCGACGCCTACTTCTTTCTACGATACCTTCAGACCCTTTTAATCATCTTCATTCCCATCGCCATTGTTGTCATTCCGATATTGCTTCCAATCAACTACATTGGCGGGCGGGGTCAGGGGCTTGTCGATATAAGAGACGACAACGACCACAACTCCGCGCTCTCCAGCAGGTCTACCGACGATCCTGATGCTCCAAAAAATATCACAAGTGAAATTCCAAAGGGCCTTGACACATTGGCATGGGGCAATGTGGCAAACAATAAACTCCATCGGCGCTGGGCTCACCTGGTGCTTGCCCTTCTAGTCATCATCTGGGTATGCGGTGTCTTTTTCGCCGAGCTTCGAGTTTACGTCAAGATCCGGCAGGACTACTTGACTAGTGCAGAACACAGATTGCGGGCTTCAGCAAACACAGTCTTAGTTAGCTCCATTCCGGATAAGTGGCTTACTGAGGAAGCTCTGAGGGGGTTATTCGATGTGTTCCCCGGCGGCATTAGAAATGTGTGGCTCACTCGCGATTTTACCCCACTGCTCGAAAAGATTCACAAGCGCGATGAGATTCACAAACAGTTGGAGGCAGCCGAGAGTGATTTGATACGAGCGGCAAAAAGGAAACAGCTCAAGCATGCAAAGGGCGGTGGGCATTTCCAGAAATTCACCGCAGAGGGGAGAGCTGCAAAGGCTCAACATGCCGACCGCGCAAAGGCCGAGAATGAGGAAGCCCAACGACGTGCTGAACAGGGTGTTGGCTTAAGTGCTAACACACCAAGAGTTCCACAAGGAATTCAGGAAGCGGTCCGCGAGGCCGAACGAAACCCTCAGGATGGTGATTTGACCGATGTGCAGGAGGATCCAGAAGAGACTCTAGGCCAGAGCGCCAACGGCGGTCGCGCAAGCCCATTTTCCAAAATCAGACAAGATATTGGAAAAGGTGTTGATAAGGGGCGTTCTGCCGTTACAGGAGCCGTCACCGGCGCCGGTTTGGGTATCGTAGGAGGTGCAAAAGCTTTCCAGAAAGGGTTGGACAATAAAGTAATAGGCAGGCCAGGCGGTTTCCAAGTCATCAATGCCCCCAAGCCGGGAAGGGATTCGCCCTCCCCAACATCAACCGCTTCTGACTATCCTGGACACGGGTATGATGATGACAGGCCCAAGAATTCATTTGCTTCGGAGAGGCCATTGAATAGCCAAGCCCGGCACGCTCACACAGCCTCAAACGTTTCGCAAGATTCTGAGCTTAAGCGCTACGAAGGCTTCAACCCCGTGGCTTTTGGCAACACAACTCGTAAGGCTACTAACATGGATGAAATGATTGTCACGGAAAAGACTTGGTGGTTCCAGTTCTGGAAGCCTCCTACTGGGAGTTACGCGTCACCAATTCCCCAAGGCTATGAGAACAGTGACTATCCATGGACCAAGGAGAATAAGAAATCTTTTTGGGAGAAGTTCAAAGACTCACTGACCGGCCGTAATGTGTTCACGGCCGAGTACCCGCCAGCATTTACCTACGATTACAGAACTACCCCGGAAGAAGGCGCCGAGTGGAAACGCTGGCTGAAGCCTAAGGAGCGACCTCACCACAGAGCCGCAAGATTCGACTGGACACCTTCTTGGCTTCCTGGCCTGCCGTTCATCAGTCCCAAAGTCGATACCATCTACTGGTGTCGTGAACAGCTCGCGCAGCTCAATATGGAGATTGAGGAGGACCAAAAGCACCAGGAGCGATTCCCTGTCATGAATGCAGCATTCATCCAGTTCAATCATCAAGTTGCCGCCCACATGGCCTGCCAATCCGTCACTCACCACGTCCCTAAACACATGGCACCCCGCATGGTCGAAATCTCACCAGAGGACGTCATCTGGGACAACATGGCCATGACATGGTGGAACGAATGGCTGAGGCGATTTATAGTATTTGCTATTGTCGCGGGCATGGTGATTCTTTGGGCTTTTCCTGTGGCCTGGACGGCATCTTTGGCCAATATCGACTCTCTTATTTCGCAATTCGAGTGGCTTTCCTTCCTGACGTCGAGCAAAACAATCGAAAATTTGATTAAGGCAGTCGCTGGTGTCTTGCCAGCTGTGGTGCTAGCCATCATTTTGTCGTTGGTGCCCGTGATCCTCGACTTCCTGTGCGAGCTTCAGGGCTCAAAGACAGGCTCTATCAAGTCTGAAATGGTTCAGATCTATTACTTTGCTTTCCTCTTTGTCCAAGTTTTCTTGGTTGTCTCGATTACATCGGGTGTCTTCCAGATCATCGAGGAACTAGGCAAAAATGTGGGCAAAACAACTGACATTTTGGCATCCAATATTCCCAAGGCTGCCAACTACTTTTTCGCATACATGATTCTGCAAGCCTTGTCAACAAGCTCCGGTACATTGCTTCAGATCGGTACCCTACTTATCTGGTACTTTTGGGCGAGAATTGTCGACAACACGGCCCGAGCGAAATGGCAGCGCAACACAAAGCTCCCAAGTGTCAACTGGGGCTCTTTTTTCCCCGTGTACACCAACTTCGCCTGCATCGCTCTCATTTACTCGATCATTGCGCCTATCATCTCCATCTTCGCCATCATCACCTTCAGCTTACTGTGGTTTGCTCACCGCTACAACATGTTATATGTAATTCGCTTCAAGACAGACACCGGTGGCGTCTTGTACCCTCGTGCTATTAATCAGACGTTCACAGGTCTCTACGTCATGGAGCTGTGCATGATTGGACTTTTCTTTCTGGATTCAGATGAGAATGGGAAAGCGGCCAGTTTCCGTCAAGCAATCATAATGGTCGTGGCACTTATTCTCACTGCACTGTATCAGTACGTTCTCAACGCATCGTTCGGACCTTTGCTTCGCTTCCTTCCAATCACTTTTGAGGATGAAGCCGTTCTGCGTGATGAGGCATTCCGCCGCGAACAGGCCCGTCGTTTTGGGTTGCTAGTCGAAGATGATGAAGCCACCGGCCTTAATAGAGTTGGGACCAGTGCGGCAACAGGCGACGATATTGAGCTCGAGAAGCTGAGCCACCGCAAGCATACTAGGACCCATTCTTCTATCAGCAAGTTCAACCCGGCAAAGGGCATCGCGCAAGCAGGACATTGGGCCGCACGCGGAGGCAGGCAAATTAGGCAGGCCACTTTCTCAAAGGCCGATGAATCGCTCCGTACGGCGGCGCAGTATCGCAAGGAGAAGCGGTTGAGGGACCTCGAAGCACAGCGTGCAATGGGCAATGCTTTGTACGGGGATTACCCCGACTCTATTGACGATTTGATGCCAGACGAACGTGATGCTTTAGTCAGAAAAGCTTTCCAGCATTCGGCTCTGAGAGCGAGAACACCTATTGTGTGGATCCCCCGCGACGATTTAGGAGTTAGCGATGACGAGATTAGACGGACGAATAGCTTCAGTTACCACATTCCGATTACGAACGAGGGCACGGCGCTTGACAGCGAAGTCAGAGTGGTTTATGGAAGGAACCCGCCAGACTTTTCGTCGACGGATTTGATTAACTTGTAAAAATGGACGGAGGATGATACCAAACGATAGACATGCGATTATGAGGAAGGCTGCAGGCAGTAGGAAGGAGTAAAGGAGATGACATATAATTGAGAGAGACAAGAGGAGGAAATACCCCTGAGAGCGGTTCTTCAGAGTTTTTTTTAGTTTTTTTTTCGGTAGACAAGGAGGGAAGATGAAACGAGTTGAGTAGACACGATAAGAGGGACGTTCTATTTTGTTTTTGCATTATCCCTTTTCCCCCCTTTTGTAATCACATTCATTTTAATAGCCTTTCATTTTGCATTTCTTGGTTGAGAAGAAGCTGGTGGTGGTGGTTGGAGGATCTATGTACATGTACTCACAAAACTTTGCTTGGATGCTTTGGCTAGGAGTTCGGCATATAAACACACTTCATACTCGGAGTTGTTTCAAGATTTTTTTGTTTTTTGTTTTTCATAGGTTAAAATAAAGCTTTTGCAGATGTTAATGTTAGTCAATGGTGTGTTATTGGGAGTTTGCCTCTTTGCTTTTGTCTGATCACACAAGAATACATACAACCACCTACGTTATCCTTTCATACGGCGTGCCATCCACCCCCTTTACTTCATCTCAACATCATGAACGCAATACTGGAAAACATTTATCAATGATCAGCAGCAAAAAAGGGATGAACAGAGAAGCAAAAGAAATCGACCATGCTGGGACTCGAACCCAGAGCCTTTACCAACAGAAGATGATTCCAACCGGAAAGTAACGCGCTACCGTTGCGCCACACGGCCTGTGAGGTGACATAGACATAACTGTTGAAAAGGACTTGAATTTAGATTAGTATAGTCAGTTCTATTAGTACGGATCACTTGTGGGAAGCTCGTTCATCAGTTGGATATTTGTCTGACTGTAATGCTAGAATCCCAAATGACAGTGCATACATATATATCTGTGAAAGTTGTAACAGTAACACACTTCAACATTTGAATTGTTATTTAGAGCTTAGAAAGAAAACCCCAATTCAATAATTTCCAAGATGTGTTTCCTAATGACAAGTTCCTTGAAATTCAAGACACGCACACACCAACCATTACGCCTTCCCCCTTTCCTTTTGCGCCATTAGAAAAAGAAACATACAGACAAGACACAGAGAGAAAGCACACAACAAAACTCTCCGTTTCCCCCATGCGAAACCGGGTTGCATGAAACATCTTCACAGCAGAGCCTCATCCGCTTGAAAGAAACAGATTTCCCCGATCCCTGCAAAACTTTCCTTATGCCAAATTCCTTATTATGACAACCGTTTGCTTCCTCCTTTCTCTTTTTCTTTTTCCTTTCTGTTCTTTCGTTATACATCCATCGCCCAGCCACCGACGAGTAACTTAGAACAGAATATCCAAGCAGCAGCAGCATGCCATACCCGCCAAACAAGCTTCAAAGAAACCCTATCAAACGAAAAAAACGCAAATCAGTCAATTCGTTCAATTTGATCGATTGATCGAAAAAGGAAAACTTACCGGCCCGCTCTTCTGTTGCTGTTGTTGCTGAGGGGGATAATACCCGCCCTGCTGTGGAGCGTAATATGCGCCGGGGGGAGGTTGCTGTCCGTATCCCATCTGAGGCTGTTGAGGGTAATATCCGCCTTGGGGCTGGCCCTGAGGCGGATAGTATCCACCCTGAGGAGGGGGTGATTGATTGAAGTCCTGGCCTGGATGGGTGCCGTATGGAACCTGGGGAGGTTGTCCGCCGTAGTGTGCTTGCTGAGGGGCGTCGATGCCGTAGGCGGGCGGTGCGCCGGAATCTCCTGGTTTTTGAGACATGATGATGGACGATGGTATGCTCGTGGGTTGTTGTTGTTGATGATGATGATGCGAAACCTTTTACAAGGTTTGGATGTTAGTATTCTTTTTGGTGGTGGTGTTGGTGGTGAATCAAGATGAGACGGAAAACGGAAAAGGAAAAAAATGACGGGAACGGGAACGGGCGATAGGTAAGGTATGTGTTTGAGGCGGGGCAAAACACAAGGGAAAGTTTTTGGGTATGCGCAGGTTTCGAAGCAAAGCCTCAGAACTTTAATACGCGTACGCAAGGAGGAATAGTGCTTTGCGTAGGTCCCTTACTGACTTTCAGCGATACCGAATACCGGGTGTGGCGGCTTATACTTGATTGATGGCAGTGAATTTGAAGATGAAGGTTGGAGAACACCCGGAACAAGGACTGGACTGGGGGTGCCACTCAAAATATATTATGAAGTGGTTCTTCTAGAACAAAGAAAAATAATTTGATATTAATTGCGGCTTGGGACCTCGGAGAGTGGGAGCACGGGAGGGTGTCATGAAGCCAAGCCAAACAAGCCTGTCCTTTCGGATCGTCCCCCTTGTTTTGCCTTGTTCTGGAATCCAAACCTTGATTGTCTCAGTTCCTTATCCATGCAGTGGGAAGAGAACAAAAAGTTCCCCAAATCATGTGGAGGTACACAGCCAATAGTGTAAAAAAATACTCCGCCACTTGATTGCGTACGTCCCAGGCGTATGTACGATTCCTGATGCTGTGATACCGAGTTGCCAGCAAAAAATAATGATGAAATGAGTCTGATTTAACATTCCCCACATTCCAATGAAGAGCAGCGCTGCCAGCTGTCAAACAGCCTGAAATTAATACACATCACACTTACACTCAGCGGGCGGCCTCCGATTTTTGACAACTTTGGGAAGGTTTGTAAGGTTACACCATCGCTACCGTACCACTTTAGTGTAAACGGCCCCCTGATAACACCATCATCGTCAAGTCTTGGCAGGGGACGACAACAACAACCACAAACCAAATTCCCCAATTGGGAACACCGATCACTCACTGGCTTCCCTCACTCATCACTACGAACTCAAACTCACAAAATGTCCCGCTCATCAACCCTAACCTTCCCTCCTCACCTCTCAATCCCTCTAACTCCTTACCTCCCCCCATCCTCATCCTCCTCATCCTCTTCTTCCCTCCCTTTCCTAACCCTAACCTATGCCTCCTCCCTCGACTCCCAACTCTCCTTAGCCCCCGGAGTCCGAACCACACTCTCCGGCCCCTTATCAAAAGCAATGACGCATCACCTCCGCACTCATCACTCAGCAATACTCATAGGCGTCAACACGGCTTTAGCAGATGATCCAGCTCTGAACTCTCGTTTAGAAAATACTCCTCTGTCAAAACAGCCTAGACCTATAATACTTGATCCTCGAGGGCGTTGGGATTTTACTCAAGAGTCTAAAGTGATGCAGCTTGCTTCCAAGGGGGAAGGAAAAGCGCCTTTTGTTATTCTTGGCGAAGGGACGGAAGTGGACGAGGAAAAGAGGAAGTTGTTGGAGAGGGTGGGAGGGAAATTTTTGGAGGTTAAATTGGGGGCAGAAAATGGGAGGTTTGAATGGGTGGGTGTGTTGAGGGTGTTGAAAGGGGAGGGATTGGATAGTGTGATGGTTGAAGGAGGGGGTGAAGTGATCAACTCGTTGTTGGTCGGGGAGGGGAATCGGTATGTTGATAGTGTTATTGTTACAATTGCTCCTACTTGGTTGGGGAAAGGAGGTGTGGTGGTTTCTCCGCCTAGGGAGGAAGGGAAGAAGCAGGTTAGGTTGAAGGATGTGGTTTGGGTACCTTGTGGGGAGGATGTGGTTTTGTGTGGGAGGATTGAAAGGTAAGAATGAGAAAGTGGGTTTGGTGATTGATGCTATCTACGACTGGCTGGAATTTTTAAACATGTCTAACCAAGTCCAATTCTGTAACGATAAAGGCCATTTCGAACCCAATATCTTCCGTGGTTTTGGCAATTGGGCCTGTGTACCTAGTACCAAGGAGCAGCCATGCCGGAAATTCAGGGGAAATGACTCTGTGAAATAACTCCTGAGAGAGAGCGCGTGTTGACGTACTGCTACTTTTACTTGGTCTTCATCTAGTTGTGATACGAGGGAAGAAACAGGGTATACAGATAACCTGAGCCTCCAAAGCTCGGTTTGGAGGGTGAGGTGATTAGCACATCGGAAGAAACAGAGACAAAAAAAAAAGAACAAAAGATACCGATTGATGAGCCTTATCGGAAAAGACCAAGCGAGTTACACATAGATAAGGGTTAGGGATAATGGTTGACGTGGCGCTGTGACCAAGCGTTCAGTACATGCAATGAGTACCAGTGGACGTGGTGGGGTCCAATGTTCCAGGTCGCCCACATGCCCAACTCCGTGTTTCGAAGTCCAGACCTTCTTGACCTTTTGACAAGTTCTCGAAATCTTGAATCTTGAATTGCAAATCGCAAATTTCGACTCTCGAATACATCTGCCTACCTGCACCCATACCAAAGCCAACAATTCACTCTCCCAACACCGAGGAACCCCCAGATTCCCCTGCGCCTGCCGAGCTTCCTCAACCAGGGTCTGGCCTGGACGCCACGCGCCATGGACGGCCTTTCTATCATCAAAGATCACCAAAAGTGTATGTTGTGGTTCTTCAGCTGCGCTCGTTGGGAAGCCCTTTTGTTGACTGAAAATTTGTCCCTGCAGCGATCATCGACACAATTCGACAAATAACAAGAGGCGATGTGAGCAGCTCAACCCCTTAATGAACCTTCATCTTCGATACTGATACCGCCGCCGGATTATAGTGGAAAGTGTTGGTTCTGGACGAGACTACCAAGCAAATTATCGACAGCTCCGTAAACGAAGATGATATTCTCAATCACAATATCGCAAACATTGAGCGCATCGAGGAAAGAAGGGCTCCAAACCCAGAGATGGATGCTATTTACTTTTTATCGCCAAAGCCCCACATCGTCGATTGTCTTCTAGCCGATTTTGAACGCCGAAGGTACAGAAGCGGCTTTCTTGTATGGACCGGCTTCCTTCCAGAATACCTACAGCGCAAACTTGAAGTCGCCCGGAGGCAAATAGCCGCTCAGCCTCCTCCCCTTCTCGTCGACTTTTTCCCCCGTGAATCGCATCTCGTCACCCTCCGGGATCCCTACGGCTTCCTCCTGTTATTCAACCCTTTCTGCAACGATATCGTAGGAGGTTACTTAAAAGAGCTCGCTCGAAAGATCGCCTCAGTCTGTATCACCCTGGGAGAGCGACCAAAGGTGCGATACTACAAGCCCAAAAACAACACATACGAAGCCAATGTTTTATGCTATCACCTGGCCAATTTCGTTTGGAACGAACTCGACTCATATGCGAGATCCAGTGGCGGAAGCTTTCCGCCTCAAAGCCCACGGCCTCCCTCTGTCCTGCTCATCACCGACCGATCAATGGACCTTTTCGCGCCTTTGCTGCACGAGCTTACTTACCAGGCCATGGTTCACGACTTGCTTCCAATACGGGAAGAACCTGACGGCAAGGTGACATACCACATGACCATAAATGAAGGAGCGCCAAATGAGGAGGAAAAGGACATGCCGCTACATGACAAGGACAGCGTTTGGGTTCAATATCGACACCGGCATATCCAAGATACGTTGGAAAAACTGCCAGAGGATTTCCAAAAGTTTCGCAACCAGAACCCCAACTTTTCGGGCCAGAACCAGAATCAAACGAGCTTGAACGACATCCGAGACATGATGGCGGGACTTCCACAGTACACTGAGATGAAAGAGGCATACTCGCTTCATGTCAACATGGCACAGGAGGTGAAGAACATTTTTGCAAAATATAACCTTTTTTCGGTTACTGAGACTGAGCAAACCCTCTCAACTGGCCTCGATGAAAAGTTCAGCAAACCAAAGGGCATCCTGGAACAGGTCGTCAAGCTTTTAGATGACCCA